CCTCACAAACTATGGTTGCTAGCAGGGACGGAACTCCCTTAGGGCCCAAGGGGCCGTCCCTGTTAAAATTTATATATTTGATATAATTTTTGTTTAATAGTATTTTAGTTAATGTAAAAAATAAATATTTAAATTTAAAAAATATAAAAATTTATTAAATATTTAATCAAGTTTGGTCTAATTACAATTTAAATCATTGCAAGTTTAAATATTAGACAAATTAGCCTCTACATACGTGCTTGAACTTGGTACCTCAAGGATAACAACAATCCCTTAATCCCTAAGGTCGTTTGGTTTATGCTAAATTTCGAGTTTAAATACCTAATAAGTCTTTATATGTTTATTAAATAGTCTAATATTTCGGCCCTTCTAATATTTAATTCTGACCCTGTCCCTGCTGCTAGGGAAGAATCTAACAATGGATGAATAAAGGGGCTAGAATATTAGCAATACCCTTGAGAAGCCAAGCATCTCTTCTTTCTTTTCCCTTACCAACTCTATCATTTCTATCTGCCAAAAAACACAGGGGCCAACCTTTTTTTTTTTTACTGGACTCGTCTTACCCATTTTGCCACATCATCCGACTAATTTTATGTGTACATTAAACTAGGGACCAACTTAGCGTCAAGTTAGATCATGCATTGATGGGTAGCCTATTTCCATCCCTTTGGTATTAAGAAAAGCGTGATTTGTTTCCTATGGGGATTAGCCATGAGTCACCTATAATTACAGGCTGCAGGATTGCTATAGTTACAAGTTAAGACGTTCAAAAGAATTAATTTAAGAGGGAAAAAGTACATGTGACTGCTGCTATCCCCCATACACACTATGCAGTCCTCCATGCTCCCAACATCAACATGCAACACGCTGGATAAACTTAGTCGTAACTTCTTACGGGAAGTACGAATTACGAATACAACCATTTAGTAAATTGGTTAAGTTTATTTTAATTTATTAAAATTATGACCGAATTTATAGAATATATAAGTAACAGTGACCAAATTTGTAATTATACCAAATATTTTACTGGCCACATCAGCTTCTTCGTTAAAACGACAAGTGGCTTAATTAAATACATTTAAATAGTTGAGTGACCTAATTAACAAAATTTCAAAAATATTGGTCAAAATGAAAAGGGGCAATAGTTAGGTGATCACTTGTTTACCCTTTATTTTAAATAATTTATCTTTAAATTTTTAACTAATTTATAATTATACATTGAGTTCTTTAGAATTTAATTTTTTATAAATTAAATTAATGATACTCGTCGTTAATTGTACTCGTCGTTAATGGTGCTTATCACTACTCATCGAACGTAGAAGAATCATCCAATATTAATATATGATTAAATAGTATATGAATTTAATAATTTTCCTATAAATGTTTGATATGAAAATGAGTATAAGATTTAAATAAAATCCCAATGTATATGATATTAGAGTGAGTGATGCACAAGGTAAAGTGATTATTGAATATTGTATTGATCAATCGAAGTGACTCATGTACCTTATGGTACATGAGGTGGAGTGATAATTTAATATTGCACAAGATCACTCGATGTGTCTCGTGTACATTTGTGATGCATGAGGTGGAGTGATAATTGAATACTTTATAGATCACTCGATGTGATTCGTGTACCTTTGTGGTGCATGAAGTGGAGTGATAATTGAATAATGTACAGATCACTCGATATGACTCGTGTACCTTTGTGGGGTATGAGATAGAGTGATAATTAAATATTATACAGATCACTCGATATAACTCGTGTATCTTAGTGGTACACGAGATGGAGTGTATCGGCTACCTTCGGGTACATTTGTATTGGGCACTAATGTACCATACTATTACATGTTACTGACAGTTTATATTGCATATCATTCGTGAATGAATCGGGTATCATGCATTCTCATGGCTACGCAATGGGCTATAAACTAAAATTTAAGATACAATACAGTAAATGATACAGTACGTGAAACAATTCAGTAAAAGATATTGTACAAGGAATGGTATAATAAAAGTAATAGTACAAGGAAAAGGAGCAATACAAAAAATAGAAATAGTATGTAAGAAAAGGAACAGTACAGGAAGAAAAAGACAATACTTGTTTATTATTATATTTTTAGTAAGGAGTTATATAAAGTTCAATTTAACAATTATAAGTTATTCATATATGAAATGATTTGGACAAATATTATTTAATTAGTGATCTTATATTATGTTTTGTACTGAAGTGTATATATTATATAATATTATTAGGCGGTCTGAAAGGTATAAGTTAAATAGGTGAATACTAAAGTCGATTTTGTAAGTAACAGCAGTTTCTTTAAATATGTTTAACTGGATCAAGAAAGATTTAATAAATCTAATATGAGATGAGGATGGTAGAACTGATGATAGTATAGGACCTTGTCAAGAGATACATGGCAACTGCCATAATAAGGTAAATTTTATATTAACTAATATTTTTCGTAGATATATAGTTATTGCCTAATTTGAATTGTAGTTAAATTTTGGGTAAAGTCTACGTACATAACATAAAAAAATTTATATATAGTATGAAACTATAATAATAGTTGTTATTGACGGGAGGTTGTATGGCGGTGGACAACAATTATAACGGTTATGTTTTGAATAAATCAAATTATAGAAGACACATATTTATATATAGTGAGATAAAGGATATTATATGTGTTGAGCCAAAATGTAAATCAATAAGAATGTGAAAATATTGTAAATTGTCAAATGATTAGATATAAAAGTAGTAATAAAGCATGCTATAAAGATTGGAATTAAATATAATTTTATGATTTTTTAAATTTGGTAGTTCTTAATTATGACCTGGAATAAATTGAAAATTAAATATAATTTTATGATTTTAGTTGATTAAACAGTTTAACAATAAATGTTAGATTGGAAATTTTAAAAATAAACAAAATTTTATAGGTCTTTAAATAAAAACTGTTTTATAGAAACAGTGTGACATCTTTAACATATATATATATATATATATATATGAGTTAAGGGTGTTATATAACTTAGCCTGGAATGCATTCAACTTGAGGATTTTTCCTTATTTGATAACAAAGTTATCTATAAAGTTGTCTGGACTAGTCGGTTTCTGGTTTAATAATGTATTGTCTAAATGGGATGGACAGGGGCAAAATTGGCTCTAGTCCAAGAGGCTGCTCTTGTGGTTGTCAGGAAAAGACGTGAATCAATTCTTGAGTCAGATATGGATAATGCAGTGGAGTGACTGACTGTCGGACCTAAGCGAGTTGGAATTGATTTGGGTCACCAGGGACAGTGTCGTAGAGAAACTACTGAAGTCGGAGTTGCAATGACTTCTCATCTGTTTAGGCAATATGACCATGTTAGTTGTAAAAACCGCTGCATGCTTAGAAATTTTCTCCCGGAGGGAAATGGTGTTTAATATCAGGTCTCTTTTATGTCTTCCATCAGATGGAACTTGCATGGAGAACCACCACCTTGGAGGAAGAAAGAATGTTAAAGTCGTAGCCCACGTCTAGACTTTGAAGGATCACTTTACGACGACTACGATCTGATCGAACCCCTTCTCAACTTCAATATGGATGATGAAATCCCAAAGAGGAGTGAGGAACTACTACGCCATGTGTATGGAAAGACGGCTTCTTTTCTTAGGAGTCACCATGTGGCTTTTCTCAAAGAAGTCAAGGTAATTTGATTTGAAATGTTAAGTACATTTTAAATGAATGATCTGGCACGAACCAAGCGAACGATGATTGTTATTCCTAGAGGACTCGAGTTCTAGCATGATGAGAGGTGTTTGAATGTTTATTATCAATTGGTCGAGTCTTTTGAACATATACTACTTTGGAATCACCTTAGAGTAATAAAAACAGAAGACGAATGAGCTGGTATCTCAAGTAAAGAAGTTGATAACTGATAAGAACAAGTATACCCTGGAGCACCAGGTCAAAAAACAGTTTCATTCTGGCCATGTATATTCCTTTTTGCAGGTTCTTCGGAATCAAAAGGCTATATTAGTGGAGAGGAAATTGGATTCATTTTAAACAAGTACCCTCCTCAAACGCTATTGAATCTTGTTTTGGAAGAGGAATATCCAGTCAGTCTTCCTTTCATCAAAACGGAACGAGAATGTGACTCAGAGCAAGTGCTGCTAACATCGGACCATTTTGAGCAAGGCCTTTTAGTTTTGGTGAATTCTATGTTCAATAACCATCATTTTTTTCACTATGTATTCATTGGTTTCTGATATATATGTATTACTTGTGGACATAATAAATCCAAGGATCTTCAACTAAATCAACAAAGTAATGCATTCAAGTTCTCATTGCTTTATAATACACATACTATAATTAAGGCACATTTACCAATCAAGCTTCCATGTTCTAGTGGTTAGGACATTGGACTCTGAATTCAGCAACCCTCGAGAGTTCACCTTCGGTCGAACCTATGAATTTTTTTAAAGATTCCTATTTGTTGTAAACCACACACAAACTCACTGCAATTTCTTTTAACTGCCATGCATAATGCTTATTACTTGGATAACATTATCAGTTGGGTCTTATTTAGTGAACATTAAAGTTTAAGCAAAGACCCCCAATATTTTATGAAAAATCCCAAAGCTTTTCTTTGAGGTCATTGTGTGCCCCTTATTGCTGGATTTCACGTTTAAAGTTTGAAAGCCATGTTGGTTCTTGGTTCTTCACTACAATATAGAATTCTCTATATAAACATGTGAAAGAATACATTAATAAATGAATCCAATGTTAAATGGAGCCTCTAAAATTTTACACTAAATGGTTAATTCCTTTGAGTTTCAAATGTTAAGAATCTCACAACATCTTTACAGTTGATTAAAGGTCCTATGTATGCAGAATGCAGGAGACAATGACTGCAATATCATCTCTTTTTCCACCAACATATCATTTTCTAGCCATCTTCGAATCCTGTGTAAACGGAGTCACAACCTTCTTAACCATGGAAACGTCGTAATCTCATTGCGCCACTTGCCAAGCTACGTCCTCTGGATGTAAACCTCGTTCGATGCCTGTTACCGCAGTCTCCGATATTTGACTTTCAGACAAGTTATCAAACAGTCCATCAGTTCCAGCTACAATAACATCCCCTGCTTGTACTACAACCTTGATTACCTGCGTGCAAGGAAATAATCAAACTCGATGTTGCAATTTTAAACTTGAGCTAATCATCAACATTTTTCATCACCTGTGCCTGCGGGGGTTTACCATAATTAGCACAATTTCCTAACTGATATGGATAATTGAAAGAGTGTTGCTAGACTAGGGATCTGTATATGGCTGCACCTTGTCCGATCACCATAAACCCGCTATCTCCCATTTTCACAGCATGCAACATCTACATAGGAAAAAAATTCAAACTTCATGAATTTAGTTTGCATTAACATGGTTTCTGCAATGAGATTAGATTGAAAATAACACACCTTGTCCTTGTGGAGACTTATGATACAAGCCCTTGAACACCCTACGGCTTTCATCTTAGCGAAGGCCTCATCCAAGACCTTCATCGGATCGATTGGATGAGTCTTAGTGAGGGTAGCAAGAAGAGAGTTGTTTATGAGTTGCCTCGCGTATATTCCAGCATCGACGCCACGCATTCCCCAACCGCTGACACCATCAGCCACTCCGATCGTCTGCATCTCGTCACAGATAAAGTGGTTGTCCTCATCCTGAGACCCCAAATCACTATATTTGGATTTATAAAACGATCCACTCATCATCCTCAAGCTTCCCTCTTGAATACCGACTCTGAAAGCAAAAAGCAAAAGTAATGAGGCGAGAGCACATGATATCCTCAAGCTTTCCTCTTGAATACCGACTCTGAAACCAAAACACAAAAATAATGAGATGAAAGCACATGATGCAGCCGCCTCTTTTGTTCTTACAACTTAACATGTAATACCTCAAATATCAGGTCATGGACTATATTGAAAAGATTTGAAATTTGAAGATTTATTTGAAAATATGGTAAAAGATGAGAAAATGAATTGGAATAGTGTTTTGAACTAAATTGTATAAATAGATGAATTAAGAGGGCATTTTGGTCCTTTAAGGGGAAAATGAATTTAAAATTCATTTTTATTAAGGTCTTAAGGAAAAAGGGGAAAGGGGAAAATAAATTACCAAAAAGTCATATCCCTTTTTCTTCTTATTTCCTGTGAAAATAGCTCTCCTCTATAGCAACAGTAAAGTTTTAATTGGTTAGTGTTTCCTTTCGATTATGGTTGGTTCTTGCAAACTTAAGTGATATGTAAGTTTAAGGAAAGGTTATATAAGTTTAAAAGTACAAGATGAAGGAAATAATAGAGATTTAAGAAAATGGGTTTTGAAATGATATGTTATTATATGAGTTTTTATTGATGTTTACTAGTAGATTTGACTTGTCAATGAAGTAAATAAGATATTAGAAGCATTGGATGAGTTTAAAAACAAGTTAGAAAATATGTTGTGATTCTTAGATTCAAGTGAGCTTGAGAGATTTTAGATGTTTTAAGAAGCTAAATGAAGGAAAGTTAGTAGGAATAAGTAGAGAAGAGTTTAATAGTAATGTTGTGAGTAAACATAAGGAAATTCATAATAAGTTTATGAATTTCCATATGGGCACTTTGTATGCAAGAACAATAAATTCATAATGAGTTTATGAATTTAGGTATTGGTAATGTCTGTGCCACCTACGTAAATAATAATAAGTTTATGAATTTATTGTAATTGGCACTACGTGCGCAATCTATAGAGTTATAATGAATTGAAAGAGTTAATTGATATTATAAACAATTATTAGAGTCTAAACTATTTCAAAGTGAAAGATTAATAGTCTAGTTGTACATTTGACAGAAATGTGTCAATTATGCCAGTTAGATGAAAGGTTAGATACCTTTAAGTAAAAGATTAATGGCCTAGTTGTGAATTAGACAGAAAGGTGTCAATTATGCCAGTTAGATGAAATGTTAAATACCTTTGAGTAAAAGATTAATAGCCTAGTTGTGCATTTGGAAGAAAGGTGCCAATTATCTCAGTTAGATGAAATGTTAAATACCTTTGAGTAAACGATTAATAGCCTAGTTTTTCATTTGGCAGAAATGTGTCAATTATACCAGTTAGATGAAAGGTTAGATACCTTTGAGCAAAAGATTAGAAGCCTAGCTGTGCATTTGGTAGAAAGGTGTCAATTATGCCAGTTAGATGAAAGGTTAGATACCTTTGAGTAAAAGATTAATGGCCTAGTTGTGCATTTGGCAAAAAGGTGTCAATTATGTCAGCTAGATGAAAGATTAAATAGCTTTGAGTAAAAGATTAATGGCCTAGCTATGCATTTGGTAGAAAAGTGTCAATTATGCCAATTAGATGAAAGGTTAGATACATTTGAGTAAAAGATTAATAGCCTAGCTGTGCATTTGGCAGAAAGGTGTCAATTATGCCAGTTAGATGAAAGGTTAATAACCTTTGAGTAAAAGATTAATGGTCTAGCTGTGCAATTAGAAGAAAAGTGTCAATTATGCAAGTTAGATGAAAGGCTAAATGCCTTTATGTAAAAGTCTAAAGGAATTTTAAGGCATTATAATATAAACGGTGCATAAGTGGTATGAAAGGATGCCATATATATATAATGTACAACAATGCATAATTGGTATGAATGGATGTCATAAAGAAAACGTAAAAAATACATGATGGGCATTAAAGGATGCCCAAATGAAATTACAAAACAGTGTATTAACAATATACCCATGATGATTATAAAAGATACATGATCAATTGCCACTTTGGTGCAATACATATATAGTACTTTCTCATTTAATGTACACATGAAAAATAAAGAATAATGGGGAAAAATATACCGATTGGTAGGTATGTTGGGCCTACTAAGAATAATTTCGAAGATTGTATTAAAAAATTATGGTTTAACTGAGAAGGGCTTATCTGATCCTTATGGATTATGCAATTTGATTCCTCATTCAGTAGTCATAAAATAGTGTTGTATAAATTGTGATATCTTTACCATATTATGTCTCACTAAGTAAATACTTAACGTGGGTTGATTTCACACGTAGGGAAAAATCTAGGTTTTGTCGAGTAAGGAGTGTAGCAGTAACAACCTTTATCAATTAAAGGTTGAATCGTCAGTAACAATAGGATAATCTGGTTTGTTTTGGAAAAATTTTGTTGGAATGTAATTAAAGTACGAAAAACGCTCTGAATTGTATTTAAGTAGAACCTCTTAACATATTTCAATTAATATTTTGCTTTATCTTAAAAATGTTATGTTTTGAGAAAAATTTGGAAACAAAATTTTACGGGTTTTCAAATGACAAAATATTTTAAAAAACGTGATGTGACCTCTGTATCTCGTGTACAGAAAGGTATACGGGATATGAGTGTTACATTTACTTGTATCAGAGTTACAGACTGAGTTCATTTGAAATGAGAAAAAGGGTACATGCCACGAAGATTGTCAATGTTACTGATATGGTGTCATTAGAGTGTAATTGATGACACTCATTACTAACTGTAATGTTATTACTATACATGTTCTAATAGATGTTAGAATCCTTGAACTCCCATAGAGCGGGGGAACAAGAGATGAGAGAAGGGACTGATAGCGAAAGTTACGAGGCTAATAGTGAGCAGCCGGTCCAATCTGAAAATGTTAGTGCGTCTTCACATCAAGGGATACCGATACCAGAGTATGGAGATTTTATGCAAGCTATATTGACCTGTTTTCAACCTCCTCCGCCTCTTCTTGCTCCTCTAGCACTGAGAATGTTGATCCCAAAAGAACTGAAGAGCTTGGAAGCTCCAGAGTTCTGGGGAGAAAAGGGTGATGGTCTTCTGGAGGCCGACTTTTGGTTAAATGATGTTATAATAATGCTAGAGAATCTTCACTGTTCAGATCTTGAAAAGTTGGGTGGAGCTATATCTTTACTTAGAGGATCAGCTCTAGTTTGGTGATCAAATACTACGATGATGCGCCACCGGAGCAAGTGACCTGGCAATTCTTCCTGGAAGAATTCAAGAGCAAGTATGTGGGTGAACAGTTCAAACAGGCAATGCTGTTAAAGTTCCTAAATTCAAAACAAGGTCATCGAGTAGTACATGAGTACGAGACTGAGTATAATAAGTTAAGCCGGTTTGCAACGGAGGTGGTTCCAAATGACAAGGCCCGACGTGATTGGTTTATTGAGGGTTTGAGGCCAAAATTGAAAGAAATGATATTGGCTTTGAGTTCGTCTAACTTGCAAGAAGTTATTAACCGAGCCAAAGCTATTGAGAGAGCTCAAGCAGAGACATTAGCAACGGAACAGAATTTTCATATGGGGAAAAAGGTTGGAACGCCTTCAACTCCCCATTATGTTAAGAGGGACAAGAGCTCGAGTTCTAGATATACGGACAGTGAGAAATCTACTGCAGCTTCATAGAAAACAAAACAGTCTCAGTCAGTGGCTGCTAGCTCGGGTTAGCTCGGGTAGAGCAGTGGGAGAAATAAATGTATGTTAGACATGTTGTAGAGTACACCGGGGAGTATGCAAACTTCTCAATAGAGCTTACTTTTAATGTTGCGAGACTGGTCACTTTTCCTGAAATTATCCAATGAAATCTGGAGACCATTCGGTGCAATCTGAAAGATATGTGGCAACCTCTAATAGAAGCAGATGAAGGGGAAGATCAAGGGGTCAAGATGAATCCTTGTAGTGACAGGAGGCGTCGCCAGAATCTATAATATTAAGACCAATGAGGATCGGGATGACCCAGAAATCATAACAGGTACTTTTTATCTTTTTGATGAGCCAATATTTGTATTAGTTGACCCTTGGTCTAGGCACTCATACATTAGTACACATTTGATTAGAGCTAAAGGAATTACTTTAGAACCAAACTTGAGTAAAATGATAGTCGTAAACCCTAATGGATCATGGTACAAGTGTGGGTGGACAAGTAGTAAACAATTAATAAAGATTCCAGGGGCTATGTTCCCGATGAATCTGATGGAATTACCAATTGACGAGTTAAGATCATATTAAGAATAGGTTGTTTGTCTCTAGAGACAATTAGTCCAATAAGATGCAGAAGGTATGGAATTATAGTTGGGGGAAAGTAAGATCATTGCTTAAAGTGATATTGATAATGATTGTGAAGAAAATGATGTCAGAAATATATATATATATATATATATAGTTTTTCTGGCTAATGTGATAGATGTTTAATTAATTAAAATAGAATTATCAGATAATTTCAAAAAGTCGGTAATTGATAGATGTCTTTCCAGATAAATCTGTGTGGTTTTACTGATGCATCTATCAACGAATTAGGAAGTGTGCTTATACACAAAAGTAAGGTTGTGGTATATGCCTCGATAAAGTCAAAGACTCACAAGAGGAATTATCTATGCATGATTTAGAGTCATCAGTAGTCGAGTTGCCTTAAACTATTTGACATCATTAATAGTGAGCGATGTTATAGTTGTGCTAATTACACAAGCCTAAAATACTTGTGGAATTGAAGAGAGTGAACCTGAGATAGAAAAGATCTACAGAACCTCTAAAGATGTATGAAGTGATCATTGATTATATTTCAGGAAATGTCAATATTGTTGTGAAGGTACTTGCTCAGAACCTTTTTCAGTATTTAAGGTGCCGCTCATGATGATTATAAAATATACATGATCAATTGGCATTTTGGTGCAATACATGTATATTACATTCTCATTTAATGTACACATGGA